ATATATATATATATATATATATATATTTATACTAGGTAACTTGGATTATTATAGTACTACAGTATATACATTTATATATACATATATATATTTATATATATACACATATATATATTATATATGTATATATATATATATATATATAAGTAATAGTGCTCATATGTACAGAAACATATATGATATGATTAACTGTTTAAATGGCTTGTACAAAACAGTTCATAAGAAAGATATGTAAGTAGGCCCTACAAGTTACAAGCGAAAGGTGAATTAATGATGATAAGAATGCAGATCATCAGGAATAGACTGCTCAATACTCGGGTAGAGCTAAATAATCGTAAAGGATAGTACATAAATTATATATTTAAAATGGGACATCATTTATTAGTTTACCAAGGTCATGCCTGTTATTTCGTTGCCGTCGAATTAATGTTCCATAATGCAAATTATTATACCTTTATAATATTTAATGTACCGGTAAGGTGCTCATATGTACAGAAACATATATGATATGATTAACTGTTTAAATGGCTTGTACAAAACAGTTCATAAGAAAGATATGTAAGTAGGCCCTACAAGTTACAAGCGAAAGGTGAATTAATGATGATAAGAATGCAGATCATCAGGAATAGACTGCTCAATACTCGGGTAGAGCTAAATAATCGTAAAGGATAGTACATAAATTATATATTTAAAATGGGACATCATTTATTAGTTTACCAAGGTCATGCCTGTTATTTCGTTGCTGTCGAATTAATGTTCCATAATGCAAATTATTATACCTTTATAATATTTAATGTACCGGTAAGGCCCGGAGGCCTAATGACTTATTTTTTTTATTATTATGTAACTAATGGGCCCTTCATATACACAGATGTGTTTATATGTATGTGGTTACAACACACACACACGTGCACCCCCCCCCCACTCACACACATACATATAACCACCCATCCACATATCTACATATTATATAAGCCTTTATTAAACAAATAAATAAAATTGTTGTATGAAAGAAATGTCTGAGTGTTAGATCTGCGTCCATGCCGTGTAGATCTTTGGCACTCGCCTTCGAGGGGCTGCAGGTTCGAGTCCTACATGAGACACTTTGTTCATACAACTGAAAAGGAACTTTTCGTTTATGTTTGATACCATTA